CAAGCTTTCATATGTGTGTTCCTCTGTTGTCATGAGAAGGAAAGATTTTGTAGTTAAAGCATTTGCTTAGAACTGGGTCTTAGTTCCCGGCTTTACTGCATAGCCCTGGTGTGGCCAAAATCAGATTAACATTCTCTGTGCCTCAACTCATCATTTGTTAAATGGAAGTGATATTGTGCTACCTCACATGGAAGTTATGACATTCAAAATAATAGAGATTTTGAGGTGCTTACAGGAATTAACTATATGTGAGCCATGTAAGGACCTACAAACTTTAATGAAACTAGTCATCAGGCAAGGAAGGGATTGGTCTCATTCAGAGGAGGGCTAAGGAAGGCAAAGAGAATTAAAGATCCGCATTTGCTTATGGATCCATAGGCACTGTGAATTAGCAAAGGCTTGTAAAAATATTTTTTCCATATCATTGGAATGAGAAACGCAACTACATATTGAACATACCAACAGATGTTTTATATTTCAAAAAATTCCTATATTCTTAAAGGATATCTTTATTTTTCATCACAGAATGTGAAAATTAAAAATAAAGTTGCTAACACATGTGGGGTTTGTTTTCATTAGGTATTTACAGTGAGTGGAATAATGGAAAAGCCTGGGTTTGAAGTATCCATCTCCCTTTTCTGTGAGCATCAGCAAATACTGGAACATCTTGACAATTCATTAATGCTGCCCTATAGAAGCAAAGACCACCTAGCCTATGAATTACAAGTCTTCTCTCCCGTAACCCTTTGGAACCAACCTATAGATAGGACCTTGAAATCAATTGCTCCACAATGCAGTCTTTGAATTTTCAAATTTCAGTGCAGTGACCATTACAAATTGTCCATTAAAATTCACCCATTTCTAAACACAAATATTGTATTGTCCATACCAGTGAAACTTTGTTTCACTTGAAACTATTCACCAATTTGTTAAATTTCTAGAGAGTTTTGTCCAAAAACTATGTGTATCTGTCTGTGTCGGGAAGAATTTTAGGAACAGGATGCAAAGCAACTGAATAAAGGAAGCAACAATGCACTTTCCCTTTTCAAGTTATTGGTCTATGGTGAGGGTGTTCCCCAGCGAGGTGATACATCCAGGTTCAATGCTACTGTCTGCTGGACACAGCTCTGTATTGCATTTCCTGCATTTCCGAATGAATCCCAGCCACAGCTAAATCATGGTTAGTCTATACCGCATCCCTAGTTCGGAAAAGGGATGCAAATGGAGACGACCAAAGTAGTTAATGAAGCAGGGATTCATTAACATGGTCTTGCCAGCTCGCTAGTTCGAATCCCTGCTGATTCGAACCAGGATGTGTGCGCTGGGACGCGTTAGTTCGGACTAAAGCCCTTAGACCAAACTAACGTTACTCCTCAAAGTTGTTCTACTGTGTAAAACCAATGACCGACCTACTGGAACAGTGTTATGAAGTTGAGCATCTCCCGCTCTAGTTGGGTGCCCCGGCAACCAGTCAATAGAATCATGAAGGTGAGTAGTTCCCTCTCTCGGTGGTGCCCCTGGCAACCAGTCAATAGAATCATTCTCTCAGTCTTTCCCTGTGATTCTGCCCAGGGCTCATAGGAACACCACAGATCCAGCAGGAGAGACTGAGGCCAGAGCTGCACCACTGGCTACGTCGACACTGTCCTCAGCAATGAAGCCTGGTTTGTTTGGCACATCTGGTGGAGACACATGAGATCAATGGGGAAGCAATTGCCATTGACGTCTGTACCCAGCACACACAGAGGATCTGTCCCAAGGCTGGTGAACACTGATACTGGCAGGTGATCTAAGTGACGTTGATTCAGTTCTATAACTCTCCCATTGACACAGCATGGTGTACGCATCAACTTGGGGTATCATAACTGGAATCAACACACAGTGTGAGCATTGCCCAGCCCTAAAGAAGACCCAGGATACAATACGTCTAGTCTCCAGGGTGCTCCCCAGCAATGTGAGACCCACTTTCAAGTTGCTTCAGCACCCCAGGCAGAGGGGGATTGACCTGTCTGCCACATCCCATGTGAATGCTCAGCGCCAGCAGCAGCTTTGCTTCCTCTTCCACTCCCATCCATTTTACCTTCCTTGTCTGCATTTACATTGATGTAGAAGGAGGCAGGAAAAGACATGTGCCATTTCTGGTCATGCCAAACCCTTCTTTCCTCCCCAAAGGACATTTTGGTCAATGATTTCAATTTGTTAAATGCTTAGGAAATATTCAGACTTAACTCAGGATGTTTTCTAAGCAGCTGTGAACTAAAAAAATTAGTTATGGGCACAGCTTTATGTATTTGGTACTCACACTCCTGTGAATCAAATATTCCCACACCTCTATCTTGCCAGTCTATGGTACACTCGAACAGAGCTCAGAGTAAGAACACAGAGCAAACTTGTTATTATCTCGCAGTTTAAGTAATGTAGCAAAAGTTACCCTTTCTGTGCTATTTTGTATTGTGTTCTGTGCAGGCTGTCATAGAGGCTGCACACACACTGTGCTCCCACTTACAAATTATGCTCCTCTTTTTTTTGTAGCTCCCTTAAGACGAAGTAAAGAACACTGTGATGGAAATCATGGGTTTTTTCATAGTGTATGGACACAAATCAGGTGACAATCTCTGCAACAACTCTCTTTGCTTCAGCTATAAAAATCTCACACATCGGAATAAAACAACTCCAGCAACAAAGAGGGAAATTTGATGTCCCCTTCCTATTTTCATCTGCAAACACATCCATTGTTTAAAATGTAATGGTGAATATTTCTATAGTTTCCTGTGTGAAACAGGTGCCTCCTTTAGTTTTCCTGGAGTAATAGTAAATCCTGACCTCTGTTGAAGACTACAGTTTCTTGGAAGAATAATGTAATAAGAACAACATAACAGTGAGGAATAACAGTACCAGCATCTTCAAAATGTCATTACAATGGGCTGGATATTGAATTCACCTGTTTCCATTGCCCATCACTCTAACTTGTATTGGGATGAACAGATTCAGGTATGGGTTAGGAATTTGTTCATTGCTTTCCTCAGGGCGACCTTCACCTCCGTGTTCCTCAGGCTGTAGATCAGGGGGTTCAACATGGGGCTCCCCAGCATGTAAAACACTGAGGCTATCTTGTCCGTTTCCATGGAATAGCTGGAGGTGGGTCGGAAATACATATATAGGACTGCGCCATATAATAAGACCACTGCAGTCAAGTGACAAGTGCAGGTGGAGAAGGCTTTGTGCCAGCCCTCGGTAGAGCGGATTCGCAGTATGGTGGAGAAGATATAGACATAAGAGAGTAGAATTGTTACAGCACCGTTCAGAGTAATGAAGCACGTGGAGGCAAACAGCACAACCTCATTGATGCGGGTGTCAGAGCAGGAGAGAACCAATACTGGAGGAATATCACAGAAGAAATGATTGACAACGTTGGAGCTGCAGAATGACAGCCGGAATGTCAGACACGTGTGTATCATTGCATCCACCAACCCTGCAGCACAAGCCCCAGCCACAAGCAAGTTACAACGTGGCCTGGACATGGTGACTGTATAGAGCAGGGGCTTACAGATGGCCACATAACGGTCATACGCCATCACAGCCAGCAAGAAACACTCAATATCTCCAAAACAGGTCGCAAAATACATTTGCACTGCACACTCAGTGCGAGAAATGCTCTTCCTTTCGGCTAAGAAATTCTGCAGCATTTTAGGGGCGATTAATGTGGAATAGCAGAGATCACAGAGGGACAAATTCCAGAGGAAAAAGTACATAGGGGTGTGGAGTTGGGGGTCAGTTGTAATTAACAAGATCATGCCCCCGTTCCCCACCATGGTGACACCATAAATCAGTAGGAACAATACAAACAGGGGGACCTGCAGCTCTGGACGATCTGTCAGTCCTGAGAGAATGAACTCAGTGACCACCGAGTGATTTCCCTCTTCCATCTCCTCTGAGCTGAGATCAGGCAGCTACAGTGAGAGGTGGCAGGTGGATGGCTTAGGGAAATTTTCACTTCTCTGTAATAAATGAAGGGAAGGAAAATGGAGATTAGTTTCTTAATGGACATTAGTTCAGGATCAAAGTAGAGCTTGCTACATAGGGCCAGATGTTCTCAGCTGATCATGTGTGGTGTCCCAGCAATGCACACCCTGTACACATACAAGGACATGCATGTAAATCCTGCCCCAAAGAAAAACCCTCCTCTTCACTTATCCGAGCAGCAAACAGCAACTTGTGACTTGGTTGTGAGAGAATCAGGCTGAAAACCATCTTGAACTGAAGTAACATTTACTTAGCTCAAGACGGTGGTGAAAGAAAACGAGTTAGAAGCTCTCTCCCCTCTTTGGGCAAAGGCTGTGTCTGCACCGTGTTCTTTTTCTGGACAAAGGTACGTAACTTGCAAACTGCAATTTCCATACCTTTTTCTGCTTTTTTTTTTCCAGAAGAGGCTTTTCTGACACTTGGCCCATCTACAGGGGGTCAAATATGGGAAAACCCTCTTCTTTTGGAAGATCCCCCGTTCCTCATAAAATGAGGAATACAGGGCTTCTGAATGAGTCCACTCACTTTCTCAGAAACCCTTCTGAAAAAGCGGATACGTTCCCTGGCCACAACAGAGCTTTTTCGGATAACGGAATCCTGGTGTAGACATAGCCAAGGAGAGCTCTGTAGCTCAGCATGTCGGGTGCATTAAAATTTGCTTGCTGTGCTTCTGAAGCTTTATTTCCCCATCTGAAACGGTATTTCCATTGGTCTATATGATAACCCTGAGTGATACTGGAAACTACCTGCCTCAGTATCTATGTAATTGCCCAATGTGTTGTGTCTTTACCTCAAAGGGTAGGATCTGGGTTCAAGCTTTTAGTGCTAGAGACCATGAATGAAAAACCTTCTGGTCACCACGGGGTCTGTCTGAGTGTGACAGTGATTCAGGACAGCAGCACCTACCTGCTGAGAACAAGGCGATGTGGTGGGGTTTCTCCATCGACAGTAAGTGCCTATTTGGAGGGTTCGAGAAGTTTTATACAGAGATCAAATCCATGGGACTTGCTCCCTGAAGTAAATGGGAATTACTGAGCTGAGTGAGGCACTGCACCTAATTAATGAGCTCAGTGAACCGAAGTCACTCTTGGCGTAATTCATACCCTGTGGATTAATTTGCTGCAGCATTTCCTCCTGTGCTATTAAATCATAGAATCATAGAATAATAGGACTGGAAGGGACCTCAAGAGGTCATCGAGTCCAGCCCCCCGCCCTCAAGGCAGGACCACGCTCCGTCTACACCATCCCTGACAGATGTCTATCTAACCTGTTCTTAAATATCTCCAGAGAGGGAGATTCCACCACCTCCCTTGGCAATTTATTCCAATATTTGACCACCCTGACAGTTAGGAATTTTTTCCTAATGTCCAATCTAAACCTCCCCTGCTGCACTTTAAGCCCATTACTCCTTGTCCTGTCCTCAGAAACCAAGAGAAACAAATTTTCTCCTTCCTCCTTGTGACACCCTTTTAGATATTTGAAAACCACTATCATGTCCCCCCTTAATCTTCGTTTTTCCAAACTAAACAAGCCCAGTTCATGAAGCCTGGCTTCATAGGCTTCTCTAGACCTTTAATCATTCTTGTCGCTCTTCTCTGTACCCTTTCCAATTTCTCCACATCTTTCTTGAAATGTGGCGCCCAGAACTGGACACAGTACTCCAGCTGAGGCCTAACTAGTGCAGAATAGAGCGGCAGAATGACTTCACGAGTTTTGCTTACAACACACCTGTTGATACAACCTAAAATCATATTTGCTTTTTTTGCAACAGCATCACACTGTTGACTCATATTCAACTTGTGGTCCACTATGACCCCTAGATCCCTTTCCGCCATGCTCCTTCCTAGACAGTCGCTTCCCATCTTGTATGTATGGAACTGATTGTTCCTTCCTAAGTGGAGCACTCTGCATTTCTCCTTATTAAACCTCATCCTGTTTACCTCCGACCATTTCTCTAACTTGCTAAGGTCATTTTGAATTATGTCCCTATCCTCCAAAGAAGTTGCAACCCCACCCAGTTTGGTATCATCTGCAAACTTAATAAGAGTACTCTCTATCCCAATATCTACATCATTGATGAAGATATTGAACAGTACGGGTCCCAAAACAGACCCTTGAGGAACTCCACTTGTTATCCCTTTCCAGCAGGATTTAGAACCGTTAACAACAACTCTCTGACTACGGTTATCCAGCCAATTATGCACCCACCTTATCGTGGCCCTATCTAAGTTATATTTGCCTAGTTTATCAATAAGAATATCATGCGAGACCGTATCAAATGCCTTACTAAAGTCTAGGTATATGACATCCACCGCTTCTCCCTTATCCACAAGGCTCGTTATCTTATCAAAGAAAGCTATCAGATTAGTTTGGCATGACTTGTTCTTCACAAACCCATGCTGGCTATTCCCTATCACTTTATTACCTTCCAAGTGTAACTAGCTAGTTCGGATTAGGCTTCCTAATCCGAACTAGCTGTACGCCTCGTGGAAGCCTAATCCGAACTATCTAGTTCGTGTCGCGTGTAGCCGCGCGGCACGCAGTCCGAACTAGCCGGCATTTAAAAATGGCGCCGGACAGGATCAAGCAAATGAAGCCCGGGATCATGCAAATGAAGCCCGGGAAATTCAAATCCCGGGCTTCATTTGCAACTCCGTATGACTGCATTAACCCCCCTAGTTCAAACTAGGGGGGTAGTGTAGACATACCCTATTATATTTTATAGCCTTCTCTCTCAGTATAAGAACTAGGGATCACCAAATGAAATTAACAGGCAGTAGGTGTATAGTTAAAAGATTCTACATTGGAACATCAGTGAGCTGTTCTGAGTTAGAGAAGCAGGGAAAAGTACTTCCTCAGAGAGAAGAGGGAAATCGATGCTTGAGCCAGGTGGCTACAAAAGTCATTGAGAGCCAGGGAGGGCAAGGTGAAAAATGGTTGCTTACCTTGTAACTGTTATTCTTCGAGATGTATAGCTCATGTCCATTCCAGGTAGGTGTGTGTGCTCAGAGTGCATGCAATGTCGTAAATTTTTCTCTTAGCTGTACCCGTTGGGTCAGCAGGGGAGCCTCTGCTGTCCATGCACCCCCTTGATTCCTTCCTACCTGACCACTCTGAAGAAGGGGAATTTGGCAGGATCTGGAATGGACATGAGCAACACATCTCGAAGAACAACCATTACGAGGTAAGTAACCGTCTTTTTTCTTGGTGTGATTGCTCACGTTCATGTCGTTTAGGTGACTCCAAAGCGGAAACCTCAGGAGGCAGGGTCCGAGTTCTAATCTTCCACTGAATGGAGGACAGCCCTACCCAGACCAGCATCCTCCCTTGCCAGATTTGTCAGCGCATAGTGATTGGCAAAGGTGTGGACAGGAGACCCTGTGGTGGTCCTGCAGCTGTCAAGGTTCGGGACCTGAGCCACACAAGCTTCTGAGGAGGCCTGAGCTCTAGCTTAGTGGGCCATGAGGTGAGGAGCTGGAACCCTGGCCAGCCCGTAGCATTTCCTAATACAGGCTATGATCTGGGAAGAGATCCTTTGTGGAGAGACCAGCTGGCCTTCCAGCCAGTCTGGAATGACAAGAAAGAGCTGAGGTGACCTGCAGAAGGGCTTTGTCCTCTCTAAATAAAAGGCTAAAGCCCTCCTGCCATCCAAAGTGTGCAATGCCTGTTTCTTACCAGATGGATAGGGCTTTGGGGTAAAAGATTGTCAGGAAAATGTCCTGCGATACATGAAAGTTGGACCCCGCTTTCAGCAGAAGGCTGGGTGGGGGCACAATCTGATTTTATCCTTAAAGAAAACCATATATGACATCCCTCAGTTTGGACCCATGCATGGCTGATTGGATGGCTACCAGAAGGGATACCTTATGGGACAGGTGCAGCAACGAGCATGTTCAAAGGAAGGTCTCGTATGTTTAGACAGGGCCAAGTTAAGCTTCCACTGCGGGACAGGCTGCTAAACATGCGGTGAAGCCTGGCTAGGACCTGCTAGGAAGGGAATGATGGAAGCCAGAGTCACCATCTTGAATTTGGACTTGACGATGAAGGGATTGAGATCCCAGAAGTCCAGGATGGGATGAAACCCACCTTCGGCTTTGGGGACCAGGAAATAGAAGCCCCTGCCCAAAAGCCCAGGGGGAACCACCTCTGTGCCCCCCCCCCAAGGGTGAGGAGCTGAAGAACCTCCTCCGAAGGAGAAGCTCATGAGAAGTGTCCTTGAAAAGGGATGGGAGAGGGGAATGGGAAGGAGGGGCAGAACAGAAGGTTATGGAATACCCTCTACCCATCATTTCTAGGACCCAACGGTCTGAGGTAATAAACTCCCAGGCCCTGCAAAAAGGGAATAGGTGGTCCTGGAAAGGGAGGGATGAGGCTGGTGTCCTTGAGCGCACTCTCAAACCCCTTGACAAGGCCCTGAGGACCTCACAGTCCATCTTCTTGTCATCCCTGTTCTTGGGAGTGGCACCCTGCTGGTTCTGCCTCTCCCTTTGGTTCACTGCCTGGACAACCAAAGACCTGGGAGGCGGATGGGAGAATTCCTCTCCTGGGACACGAAGTTCCATCACTCGGTCTTCTTGTCCATCGGTGGAGTAGAGACTGGAGTTTGCCACAGGGATTTTGAGATCTTGGCCACCATTTTGTTAATAGGGAGTACCACTCTGGTAGGGGTGTCAGGCTGCAAAATGTCAACAGTTGTTTTAGGGCCAGTCGGCGAAGGAGGTCCTGGTGTGCCCTGAAGTCTATGGAGGACATGGAGGGAAGCGTGTCCCCCAAAGTCTCATTTGGGGAAGAATACGGGGGCCACGGCTTGCGAGTGGCCTTGGGCCATTGGGGCCTTGTTCCCCAAAGGTTGCAGGGAAATCTGACCAGGTGGAAGCAACTGCCCTGACGTGGGGGACTTGGGCCGTGTCCACACTCAGGGGTTCTTTCGAAAAAAGTACGCTTTTTTCGAAAGAACTTCCCCTGCATCCAGACTCAAGCCGCGTTCTTTCGAAATTATTTCGAAAGAACGCGGCTTTTCTTTCGATGGCGGTAAACCTCGTTTCACGAGGAAGAATGCCTTCCTT